TATATATATATATTTAATCTTAAAATATTAAACGAAGTTATTAATAATTCATAACACGTATTTTATTTTTATATACCTTTCTACTTTTCACCATCTGCAGTAATCCCTGACGTTATCATTACAAGTTCAAAATGACAGATAAATTTTTAATAATACGTTGACAAATGTACATCACTTTGATAACCAAATTACGTGTTATTAAGGTAAAAAAAAATATAATCTTGCAATTAAATGTTTTATCTAACCATAATACCCTTAAAGTTGGTAAATCTTAACACAATAAAAAATAAAAAATAAAAAATAGAAAATTAGTTTTATGATTTAAATATATTTAATTAAAATTAAAATTAAAATATATTAAATTAAAAATTGAAATTAAATATATTTGTTCATAAAAAAAAAAAAAAAAAATCAAATCACAATGAAATTTTCATTTAAATGAAACATCGTATTATTCATTTTTGATACCCTATTTTTTTTTTTTGTTTTTTTTTTTCTATTATTGTACAAACTTATAAACAATAACGAGAAAGTATCTAAACGTTATACTACTAATCAGTAAAGACTGTGTTGTGTTTTGATTGCAGTTGTCAGTGATGGATAAAAAATTGGACCAACTGGTATACGTGCTGAATGCCGTAGCACAGAAACAACAAATCCCACTGAGAAGTATAGAGGATGATGTGTAACAGAAAGCCCCCCTGGGCGAATTCGTACCACCCTTTTTACGATTATCGATGACGAACCCATGGATATTGCCAAGAGTTACCATAACCACCGTTGTACCTAACATGCTTAGTGAGAGCAGCTGACTTCGTTATTATTATTATTATTATTATTATTATTATTATTATTATTATTATTATTATTATTATTATTATATCGATAAACATAATAATAATAATATTAAATATAACATCAGCTATAAAATATTGGGGGGGTTGGAGGAAGAGGACCATTTTTTTAGTTCTCAACATTTATTTGTTCATACATTTATTTATTTATTTATTTATTTTTTATTTTATTTTACGTTCTACTTTCTTTTGAGAACACACAAGTCAAATATAAAAATAAAAAAAAGTGGAGTAAGAAGAAAGAAGAAAATTCCCCCCACAACAAACTCGTCGATGGTTCAATCTCTCTCAAAACGAACGAAGAATCAACGTTTTGTCCAATTTACGAGATGAACATTTTATGAACAAATAATAAAAATACAACAACAAGAAAATATATAAAAGGAAAAGAAAGTAATAATGAAGAGGAAAAATGAGAAAAGATATTTGAGCTTTACGATACACGCACAGGAGACAGTTAAATGTAATTGTATATAAGTATATGTATGTGTAAGCAAAAAGGTTCCCAAGGGTTGACAAAAATCAAAGAGAGAGAGAGAAAGAAAGCAAAAGAGAGAGAGAGAGACAGAGGAACAGTGGGAGGAGGCATGGGTTGAGGAAGAAGATGACGTTTGATTTTCTACGATTGTCATTACAATATTATTATTATATAAACAAAATGGTTACAAAAATTTTTCTCAACAAAAGAAAAATGAAAAAAAAAACAAAGCAAACTAGTATAATATAAAAATGTAGGTATACTTTCGAGAAAATCGAAAAAATGACATGAGAATAAAATGAAAATATGGGAAGGGGAAAAAAAAAGAATCTTTTTCCAAAGGTTGGATATAAAATGTCAATTGATTTCTTTGAAAATAATTTAAGTGAATCAAAAAAGAAAAAAATGTAACCTCGCAATATATTAATATAAATATAAAAATGCGAATTATAATAATAATAATAATGATAAAAAAAAAATTAAAAGAAAAAAAAGAATTTAACAAGAAAGCAAAATTCAATTATTCTAATTAAAATTCAAATTCTTTTTCGTCCTATCTGTGTGACGCGAGAGAGAAACAAAAAAAAAAAAAGTACTTTCGTAATTTTATTCCAAATGGAAAATTATAATAACAAAAAACGAAATAAAAATATTCTCTTTTATTCTTTATCTTTCTCTTTTTTTTCTCTCTCTCTCTTTCTAACTAACTCTCTCTCTGTCTCTCTCTCTTTATCCATCTCTCTCTCTCTCTCTCTCTGTCTATCTTTTTCACACATAAACACACATTCCTAACGACGTATGATTTTCTATATTTATTTATTTATTTATTTTTTCTCTTCGTCTTTTAAAGTCACCTATCCATTTTTCTTTCGTTCAATTTGCAACTCTTGTACCATAAAAAGCAATATTGCGTAGAACAGATTCTATTGACAGCCTTAAAACAAACAAACAAATAAAAAAAAAAATAAAAAATAAAGGATACGTCGCGTATATAAATAATAAATAAATATTATAAATATTATTAAATACGAAATTACGTATATCTCTAATAATAATAATAATAATAATATAATTAGTCTTCGATATGCATACGTGCGAATTTAAAAATTATTCTATCATTCTATTACCATTATCATTATCCTAATCATCCTCATTATTATTATTATTATTATTATTATTATTTATTTATTTATTATATTTAATTATCTGTAGAAAATTTAAAATATTTAAAAATACTCCTGAAAGCAACTAATAAATAAAAAAAAAAAAAAAAAAAAATACAAAAAGAAAAGAAACAAACTTTTGTAATATATCTTCGAGATAAAAAAATAAATATCTCACTTATCATACATAAATAAATACATACATACATACATACATACATATACATATATATGTATATATAATAATATAGATTTATATTTTCTACATAGATCTCGTGATAATTACGGCACACAAAATAAAACATAAAAAAATATTTAAAAAAAACAACAAGAAAAGAAAGGAACACAAAATCGACACACTATAAGACTTTAAACATTTGCATTATGTTTAATTACGTGTGTAATAATTACACATGCGTATTATTATTAAAAAAAAAAAAAGAGAAAAAAACATTAAATGCGCTAATGTATTCGTCTTGAGGAAGAAACGCATGCCGATCAGCAATAGTATAATAATTTTAAATTATAATTAGATAAAACGCTGTATTATTATCATTGTTATTATTATTATTATTATTATTATTATTATTATTATTATTATTAATTATTATTAATTATATATATAATTAAACTTTTTATCATCATTGTTATCATAATTTAATTATCTCGCTTATACATACCCTATCATCTTAAAAAATATATTATTATTATTATATACATATATGTATTATATATGATGATAAAACTAAAGCTATTGTAAATATATACACTAACAATAATAGTCGTAGAATATTTCTTATTAATAATATTAAAAAATGAAAGAGAGAAGCTTTTACGAATATTTTTAATCTCACGTGATCAAAGATTTTTTTTTTTTTTTTATATATATATGCATATATATATTTATATAATACATGACACACATGTATGGTAATAAATATATATGAGTATGTATATACATTATACATCGGCGTATATAGGGTCCAAAGTACAGAGTGGCCCAAAAGTTACTAGACCATTATGAAAAGTGATGGAAAACACTTTAAACAGAATCCATTACTGTTAATAACAAAATGTTGACAATTTGAATGATATTATTTAGAAAAATTAATTACAAAATAATTACCAAAAAGTATTTAACTATTAGGGATGCCGAAAAGTAATCAAAATTTCTTCGATGAGTACACTCACATACATTTAGTTTGTGTCAAAATGAAAAACCGAAGAACTTTTTAAAAAAGGAATTGAATAATTTAAATTTCCTTTACGTAAGACAAAATGTGCTAATAAATGATAAACAAATTTTTTGTCGATTATCATTTGAAATTTCTTTAACCCTTTTAGTGCTATGGACGCATATATGTGTTTGATAAAAATTATTAGAGTGGTTTATCGATGTAACATCGACAAACACATATATGTGTTTGTTAATATTAATATAAAATAATGTAAAATAATGTAATGTTTATCTTAATTAATTAAATTATATTCAGAAAGAAAAATTCTTTAATTATTAAATATAATTTATTATTAGAATCTGGTTAATAATAAACTATTCCGTTCCTATAAAATATTGTAGGTAAAAGTATTTAACAAAGAAAAATTTTGATTACTTTTTGGTCCCCCTATATATATAATATTAATTTATACGAGAATAAATATATATGTGAATGTGTTTTTAATACATTAAACAATTATTTTATTTTTAAAACGGTCTAATAATTTTTGGACCATACTCAAAAAAACATATAAACGTAACTATGATATTGTATCAAGAAAAAGAAAAGAAAAAATGAGAAAAAGAACGTGAATGTGGGCACATCGTGTAAAAAAAGTAAAGAAAAATCTGAACCTACGGAAAATATAACTCGTGGAATAAATTAAACAATAAAATTGTTTATGTAAATTGAAAACACGATGATTCTTCTTCGTAGGATTTCTTTCATCGTCGTATTTTACAATAAAAAAATGGTCCATAGGACCAAAATTTCAAGTACATTAATTATCAATTTAATTTTCAATTTAAATGTAGAAAAGAAAAAAAAAAAGAAAAAAAACACACACAGACACACATATTGAAAAAAACTGAAATTTAATTACGTTGTCATTTGAACAAAAAAAAATCAATCGTTTAAACATAAATAAAAAAATAAATTTAAAAGAAAAAGAACAACAAAATCAATGATTAGAAAATATAATCATAAAATATACTATATATATTATAATTTAAAACAATAAACATGATTAACAATAATAATAATAATATTACACGATCGCGCTTATTACAAACATGTGTGAGAACGTCAAACTAAAATGCACAATTTTCTATGGTGCCTCTCACTTTGAAATTTCATTTATTTTCATTCGTGACACACAAATCATTTTCGTAAAAAGAAAGAAAGAGAAAGACAGAGAAAGGGAGAGAGAGAAGAAAAAATGTTTAGAAGGTCCAATAAAAATACTATTCACAAACACTTTAACATTTAAGAAAACTAAATATGGCAAAAATAATAAAATTGTCATGATGTATCTCGTTATGCTAAAATTTTCCATTAATCACACGATAATTGATAATTATTATTTAATATTATTACTTATTATCGACTGTAAATAATCGTACTTATCGAATTATATAAGTTAATAATGTAAAAGTAAACAAAACAAAATTCGATTCATTCGATGAAAATTAATCGTTCGAACCAAAAAAAAAAAAAATGTGAACATTAAACCTAGGAAAACATTATATATATATATATATATATCGGACAATCTTTCATCTAAATTTGTAATATTATCTGACAAATATAATTCAACGATAGAACCTTCGATTATCAAAAAAAAAAAAAAAAAATTATTTGAAATGTGTGAATTTATTTTTATCGATTACCACGAATGATATATTTTGTTTAATAAATCTTATGGTTGCAATATTAAAAAGTATTATATATTGCAAAATTCAAAATTAATTTTTATGATTATCATAGTAATTATCTATTTTGATTAAAAAACAAAACATATTTAATAATGATTAGATAAAAATTGATTAAGTAACGAAGGTACTATCGTAAAATTAAATTGAACATTAATCGTTGCATTAAAAAAAAAAAAATAAAATAAAATAAATAAAATACATACGTTTAAAAATTAGTATGATAGTAGAGACAATCAATAACCTTCGGGTATCACATCGATAGGTTTATATAAATAATAATAATACAAATTTTATTTAATAAAATATCAAGAAAGAGACAAACACAATGAAAGAAGAATGAAAGAAAGAAAAAGATGCACGTTGTTTATTATATTTGAATGCAAAAGACCAAAAAACAAAATGATTGTTGTTGTTACGAAGATAACCATTTATTTATACTTTTTTGTTTATCAATTTTTTAATTTTTTTTTCTTTCTAGCACGCTTATCCAAAAAAAAAAAACAATAAAATAAAATAAAATATATTTGATATTATTTTGATAATATATTAGAATTTACATATATTTAATTAAATCTAATGTTAAATATATTCATATGTATATAAATATTTATTTATATAATAATTAATGAAACATTTTGACAATTGATTATTTTATTTCAATATTTTTGTGTGCTTTGCTAGGCCCTGTGGGACCATACAATTCGCACATTCAATAGTAACAATCTTCTATATTAATATATTATCAAAAAAAAAAAAAAAACAATAATATTTATATTAAATAAATAAAAATTCGATGGAAGCGTATCGAAGTCCTAATTAAAAAAAAAAAAAAAAATCAAATCTTCAATTTGATAATTCGTTCAAATTCGAGTAGAAGTAGAATAGAAAATTCATTTCTAAAAATCTCATCAACGAGATACAATTCGCTTAATTGTTAAACAAATGATTATAACAAAAAATTGCTTTTTTATTCTTATCACGCTTATATCAAATTATTCGTATAAAATTAAGGGGGAGAAAGAATTAAATCGTAGTGTGTTAAATTAACGTAATAACTTTGTTAATATATTGCTTCTTGTCTTTTTAATTACAGTAAATTGATTTCAAAGCTATCGCAATTGTAAACTAAATGATAAATAATTGTTAATTAATTTTAAACTTCTGCGAGTATCAATTGAAATTCCTGTTTTTAATTTCACATTATTTTTATTATTTTTATTATTATTATTTTTTTTTTTTTTTTAATTGTATGTGTAAAATGCGTACGATGATCGAAAAACAACGAATCTTTTGTCTGATTCTAAAAGTAAGGAAAAAATAAAAACCTTTCATTGATCAAGGAGCAATATATTAAAAAAATAATCAATTTGAACTTTTATTTTAATAAATATTGAAAAATGTCTCATCACGATATTTCGTTCTCCCTTTTTTTTTTTTTGCATGATTAACATACATAACTGTATATGTATGCATATTATGTATACATAATATAATATACTTGTAAAAAAAAAAAAATCTCAAAATGCAAGTAGTGTTCGTGAATCGGCCGATAATTAATACGTGTATATATATATATATACATATAAATAGGATAGTTTTTACTATTAATTAATAAATAAATTAATAAATATATATACACGTATAATGTATTATAAATTATATATTAAATAACGCATGATACAATACATTATAATTCATAATATATAATAATTAATACGCGTTGATATGTTTGATTAGATAAAAAACAAAAAAACAAAAAACGTGATCTTCGTATAAATTTTGATTTAAGTGCAAAATATAAACGTGAACGTATGTAAAAAATTCTTACAAGTGGAAAAAAAGAAACGAACACAATTACAAAAATAAAAATGAAACGAATAATTCAAATAAAAATGAAAGAGATGAACTTTAATAGTTTGTCAAAAAAATCGATACGAATCGTACGATTATTTTCTTTCGTGACTTATCTCGATGAATATTAAAAAAAAACTCGATAGAAAAACAAAATAAATAAAAAATACAATTCGTAATGCAAAAATAACGTGACGCTTGCAAATGACGATTGGAGAAAGTAGGAAGTGATAGAGTGCGAAAATTGATTATTCGCAATTTTTAGAATGTGATAAACAAATAGGTAATCATCTAGTTTTAAGAAAAATAAAATTTAGCATTTAATAACACGAATTAACGTAATATCGACGCTAGTCAAAAAATATACATACAAGATTTACCAAAACGTTAATAAATGAAATAAAATAATAACAAACAAACATATAAAACATTTAAAACATAAACAAAAAGAACATTTTCGATGTAAAGTAATGCGAACTTCGAAAAATGCGAGTCACAAAAAATAAATCCGAAATATTCTTATCTTTAAAGACGTGCAACACTATCTGCGAGATTTAAATTGTTTATTTAATCGTTTCTTTACTTTACAATTTTAATAATATATACGTAAATGAGTTAACAAATTTTTAAATCACAAATAGAGACGATTTTCTTTTTT